ATTTAGAAATCTTGCGGTAGGATGAGCTCTGGATGAAATCTTCCCATTGGTAATAGATGCTGCCCTTTGACCTGGCGCTGATCACAGAGGGAGGGTATGTCCCCATTCTCTCACCTGGGAAACAGCTTGGGACCTATGCAACTGGCTACGACACCAGGAGATGCCCCTCCTCCCTCATGCTCCAAATTTTCAAGGCAAGATGTTGCTTTGATCTTGGGCCCTAGCAGAAAATCTCCCTTGGCAAGCCCAGCACGACAGCTGGACTCCGCAAGGGCAGCTTTCTGTAGACACCACTGAAAACATTCTCAACGGCAAGTTCTCTGGAGAAGACTTGATGAAGGAAACCAGGTGCGCGCTGAGAATCCAGCTGGAGAGAAGTGGAACTGTGCCAGATAGCTACAGATTTTTTAAAAGAAAAAATCCCACCCAAACCCTAAGGAGAATCTCTCTGCAAGTGTCTCCACTGGGGTGGTCTTGGTTAGCCGTGGGGCCCCAACTTCCCTGCTCTGATTGTCTCGGGTTAATTTTCTATGCAGTTTTACAAAAAGGAATGTGACAATTCTATCTTAGGGCCTGCAATCAGGCAAGACAGGGCTGCGCTTGTCCTGCAGACTCAGGAGACCAAGAAACCAGTTAAAACACCTTCTCCCGTTTCATCCTCCAGGGGTGATCGCCACATAATGATCAAGTTCTGGTCCACAGCGTCCACGGAGTAGGTGCTGGTGATTCCTGCCTGGTGTAAATTTGGGAAGACCACCTGGCTCAGCCCAATTGATCATTTAGTGGGTAGTTGAAAGGCTTAGGAAGATAGAGTAGCTTCTGTCACACACAATATCCTAAATGAAACAGGCTCCAAGGCTCAATAATTCCTTGGATTGAATGGCACAAGATGGCTGAAGCTTCTTGAAGCCTCTAGGCAGACACTTTGCCCAAGGAATTATCAAGAGATTCCAATGAGTCCACGTCTCCACGACCTCCTGCTCAGGGGCGGATCCAGATTTTGTGGAGGGTGAAATTTACATAATTTGAGAAGGCCCTCTTAAAGGGGAAGATTACATAATTGTGAATGCAAAATTAGGTATGAAGATGAATATTATTTGGAATAAAACAATATATCACAATAAATTAAAATTTAAGTTGAGAAATACCACACATTAAAATATTTAGAAAAGTGAATCTTTTTATACTATACATGCCTGTATAAAATTCTTTCTCCTATTTTTTCCTGCAAATTCCCTAACTTTGTTATATAATTAAATTTTATAATATCTATAGAGAGAAGAGAAAGATAATTCCATCTCATTAAAAATTGAATTGTATTTTTAATAGATTAGGAAAGTTTTTTTCAGTTTTACCACTCATTGTTGGTAATTTCACCACTAAATTATTGGTAAAAAATTTAGAATTATTAAATATTGAAAAAAATTCTTATACATTTTCTTTATATATAAGCTGTAAGATTTTGGGACATCTCAAGTTGTGTGTGTGTGTGTGTGTTGTGTGTGTGTGTACTCAACAACTTAATTTTTGAAAAATTTATCTTTATTATTGAAAGTATTTCAGATGTCTCTCCTTTTTTCCCCCATTGATATCCTCCTTGCCCACACCCCCCTGCCTTCACTGCACTGTGGTCTGTGTCCAGTGGTTATGCATATGTGCGTATCAGTTCTTTGGTTTATCTCTGCCCCACCTCCATCCTCGCTTTGAGTTTTTCAGTCTGTTCCCTGCTTCCATGTCTCCGGATCAATTTTCAACAACTTAATTGTAAGTGTTCTTTGAATTGATAAACTCATTAACTATTCCATCATCAGTTTTATGTTGGTCCCCACATGTTGTGTCAGCATGAATATTACCAGAAGCCGTTCCTACTGGTACTGTTGTAATAACCAGCACAGAAATGACCCAAACCACGCAGATCTATCCCGCTGAATCCCGATTACATGCTGCTTCTTCACAAGTGCCTCTGAGCCCGGTTCCCAGAATGCCCATGGGTACACCAGTGTCACCCACCGCGAGGAGAATGTGGTGAAGAAAGACGATGATCTTACTGCAGTTTAAATAGCCTACTTTTGCAAATTTTACAAAATATGTGACCATGTGGCTCTATCACTAGGGCTTTTTCAGGGCCCTGGAAGAGACCTGTGCAAGCAAGGAGCCCTCACACACAAGCTGTATTAGCTCTGTGTTACTTACATATGGGGATTTACTCAGGCCACACTGGGCTCCCTGGATGGGGTGGCATGCTAGGTTTCCCATCCAGTCACTAAAACTGAGGAATGACTGCGAGTTCAGTCCACCTCAGTTGCCCAATGTTTCCTCAACTTGAAAATCTTGACAGTTTTAAGCTCCATTTCTTCATGTTTCCACCTTCATACAGTAGATTAAAACAAACCAACAAAAATAGATGAAAAGGTTTAAGAAGTTTGCCCTTAAGAGGGCAATAGGTTTTGGTTAGACTTTTCTATCCATAGTAGAAAGGACTTCACCTAGATTTTCCAGGGCCACTGTCTACATAAATAATTTGAATTCCCCCAGATCAATATGTCAGTACCATTTTGGTAGCTCACGTTCTTGCATTCCCACAAAAGAAATACTGTGCTGGCCAACAGGAGTGTCATTCGGTGCCCCCTGGAATTACACATGCCTTGAGGCTTCAGGAAAACCTAATGGGTGTACGTTCTAGTGCACCTTGGAGCATTTGATGGGTCCCTATGTGTGGGGTAGAGGATTGTAGCAAACCCTGAAGGACAGAAGCCAGGACTGGGATTGAGGCCCATGCAGAGCCAAGTCCAGGCATGGGATAACCCACCCGATGACACTGTTGACCACTGAAGTGCCTCTGTCAGGGTCTAAGGACAGCACTGGTAGAGGGAATAGTGACAAGATTCTTTCTTCTTCATCTTATCCTTCTTCCACTTCCTCTTCTTCCACTTACTCCTCCTTCTCTTCTTCATCACGTAGCAATGACTGTGATTCATGCCAAGATAGACTTGATGGAAAGCCACATTTTCCCTAGAATTGTTCACTGTCATTTTAATGAGTTTTATTTTGATGATTTTCTTAAAAAGAGTGGTGATTGAACATGAATTTAAAATATAGTAATCATGTTTTGTCTTCATTGATGAAAAATATCAATGTTTTGACTATTGGCCACTTACCCACAGTACTTCCGATCTTACCTTCCTGCTGCGACTTTCTCTCTCTGTCTTTTCCACATGTTCCCATTCCCAGCATCCTCATCCCAGTGGTCCTTCGGGGTCATTGCTGGATGTCATTTGTTAAGGATTTGAAGGCTTGATAACGTCAGTGTCCTTTGTCTTATCATTGTTTAGGAAATGGGCAGATGTTGGCAAATTGATACCCGCAGTGGATGAGTTTTCTTGGACCCTCTTTTGCTAGTTTTCTCCTCTTTGCTTCTGCTCTCCCTCTCCTTGTCTCTGTCTTGCTCCTCCCAGGGTAGAATGTTTCTTCTTACATCTGATGGTTACAAAGAATGGATATTGCTTAATGGAATTTATTTTAGAGAATATAAGATTTAAGGAAAACATATGAGCTGCAACTATCTGAGGTGTCACCATGTGGAAGAGAAGACCTTTTTCTTTGTGACCCCAAACAATTAAATTGGGGCAGTAGTTGGGAATTCAAGAAAGATTCAGTCCCAGAGGAAAGAAAAACTCTCACTTATGGTTATTAAAGAGTGAGGTACCTTGTAGTGACCCCTTGGCAGATATGTCAGAACTGGATTCGGACATTGGTTGGTTTTGAGGTTCATTCTTCTGTGACAAGTTGTAATGAAGTAAAAGAAAATCCAGGTGACATCTTATGGTTAGATAACATCCTGACAGGGTAGGAGAAGGCCTTTTCTTTGATATTTACTTTCCTCTCATGCACCCAAGTATAACTCACTCCTGGAAACTGTACTCCGAGTCTTTGACTGTTGTGTGCTGCCTTTGTCCTGATATCTTTAGCCCCTATACACTGTGTTGTCATTTCCTGTCAAAGAACCCATTCTGTCTCCTGACACTGGCTAACTCCTCTTATCCATGGGATCTTTGTATCCATAACCTCTGTTCTGGCCTGTCAAATCACCATCTTGTTTAGGGCTCAGCTCATTTGTATGCGACTCAGTTGAGGAGTTGATGTGTGAACTAGTCCTTCCCAGTTCCTGTGATTCCCAGAATCTATGTCTCTTTCCTTATATGGTTTGAGTGGGGGGATCACAGTATTTTCCTTGACTGGATAGTGGATCTCACTGTGGGGATGGATCATGGAATAATTTTACCACCATGTCACTGCTTGGTCTTTTCTCTTCCATTTTTCCTTCCTAGATCATTAGATTCACAACAGTCTCAGGAAATGCATTTTGACCTTCCTGGCTTAACTACACCTGTCCTAACTTGCTTTGCTTGTTTTTTCCTTCTTGCTTTGTTCTCCTTTCCCCCAATACAATTATTCTTTTTTTTTTGTCCCCACCGAGCAATGCTTTGCTCCACCACAGACTCTCAGATCATAGGAGGATGGCCAATCCCTGTTTGTGTCCATGACATTCCTATGTGTTTTATTGATAAATTACTCCTTATAGGAGAACTGATATATTTTTAATGAGGCCTTTGAAAATAATGGTTTTCTTTCACTATTAGAAAAAAATAAGTTTTATGGATTTTTCACTTTGAAAAATATTTTACTACATAGAATCTACACTTCATCACTTCATTGTTTTTAAAGAAACAGAACTAGAGAGGAAAGGAAAGTGGGATAAAACAATTAAGTCCATCCATTCTCTCTCAAGTGATCTGCACTTAGCCTTACCTGTCCAGAGAAAAGCTGGTTTGTGTACCCAACAGGAGGAGTGAAGAACCAGCCGTGCCAGACACCGCAGCTAAGCTGGTTTCAGCCCTCACCCACGCCATCTCATGGGAGCAGTCTTTTTCTGTCGGTTATGGTCTATTCTCCTTGCTAAGCCTTTTGTCTCCTGGACCAAGATCCTTAACCTTTGTCACATCACTGACTTGGAGTTTCTGCTTGACCACCTGGCAGAGGTGGCCCCAGCTCTAGAATACCTTAGCCTGCTGGGTAACATGGCATGTCCCAATGAACTGGTCAGCTTGGACAAGGACGAGGAAGACTACAAGAGATACAGGTGGGTATCTAGAGGTCTGAGCATGGTGAAAGAAGGAAAAAGTAGCACCTTTGGGGGAATAGTATACTACTGGGTGCATAGCAAATGTTTGGTAAATATCAGTGGATTCCTCATGATAATGTTAAACTTTTACCATTGTGTAACCTATTGCCATTGTTTACTTTTATTGAGGTCACAGGAGCCAAAAAACATGCAAAGCTGTTGGATGGTCTAAGTCAGGGGTTGACAAACTTTTTTGTGAGGGGATGGAGGTCACATGGTTCCTGTTGTAACTATTCAGCCCGACTGTCATAGTGCAGAAGTAGCCGTAGACAATTTGTAAATGAGTGGGCATGGCTATGTTCTAACAAAATTTTATTAAAAACAAACAGATAGACAGATAGGCCAGATTTGACTTTACTAACTGGGAGGAACCGTATCATCCAAATTCTAGCCTAATTATCCTTCTTTTCTTGACTAATTAAGAATATCATACCACTAAGAGAGCCAAGGATGCCATAAAATACACTGACTATAACATGTTTTCAAATGATAACTAGGAAACTCAGTTGACCAAAGGATGGAAATGGGAAAAATCTATCAACATTTCATATGACAAAGACTTATTTACCTCTAGGCCTTTTCCTTCTCCTTCTATTAAAGTGCCAGTTAATAATGACCACACCTTTGTGACAGCAGGGATGGACTTGGAGAGCATTATGCTAAGTGAAATAAGCCAGTTAGTAGAGTCAAATCTGACCTATGCTCTGTGTTGGAAGGTATTCCTGTGGTCTGCTTCAGGGTCATGTTTGGAGAGAAAGCACTGACATTTAGGGAGCTAATATAAAATCTCAAGAGGAAGTCCCACAAGGCCCACGACTTTGTTGCATAAAGCAGTACCTCAGTGTCCACCGACCACGTACTGTGATGGGCTCCAAGTAGAAATGCTTTTCTTCCTCTTCTCTACTTCTAAACCATCTTCTTTCAAACACTGATCCAACGCACCTCTGTTAGGGAGTCTTCTCGATCTTACCAATTTCATCAACTCGTTTTGTTTTCCTTCTTTGTTTTGAATTCTGCCTGCTCTCATTCTTGACTGCTGTTGGTAAGTACTTTTAATGATCTCTTCTTCTGTGTCGTCTTTCTCCATTATGATACATGCTCTCCTTAAAACTCCACTTGAGTCAGTGTGGGCATGAGAAAGGGAGAAAGGAGGGACTACAAAGCAGGGTAAGGCTACTGGAAAAGAATTTCGGAAGGATTGGGGAAAGAGGATAACAAATTGAGAGGAATTTGTTCTATTGAGACTCATAAAAATCTGTGGTGAACCATCAAGGAATATAGTCAGGGGCATTTATTTTGTATAAAAGCAAAACTGAGAGAAATACTAAAGACTATTGAACGTAGTATGTTTAAAAAATATACACACTTACGTACAAGTAAAGCTACCTCAGGAATTCAGTTATATTTCTTCACTGAAATAATTTAACTTTAACTTCATTTTCTAGGTTACTTGATTAAGTTTTTAGGAATCATTGACTGCTTGCTTTTAAACTCTCTTAGAATAAAGCTCTGATCCTACTTTAAAAACTTTTTTGACTTTAGAGAGAACGAAAGGGAGAGGGAGAGAGAAATAGAAATATCAATGAGAGAAAACATTGACTGGCCGCCTCCTGCATGCCCCCCACTAGGGATTTGGCCCACAATCTGGGCATGTGCCCTGACCAGGAATCACACCGGCAACCTCTTGGTGCATGGGTCGATGCTCAACCACTGAGCCACACTGGCCGGGCTCTAACCCTACTTTTTAAAAAATGTGTTAAATCTTTCTTCATCATGAAGATTTTAATTTGAGATGTGATAGTGTTAATCTGGATGTGAGTTCTATTAGGAGAAATATGGTTAATGTCCAGCAGGTGAGTAGTTACAAATTTCTAAATCAACCCTTTACGTTGCTTAGTCACATAGAACTTAATTTGCTTCTTCAACACTCTTATCAACTCCAAAGCATTAACAGCCTGATTTCAGGTATGAAGGGATGACTCAAAACATATTATATCTTCTTACAGCAACTTATTTATACGTCTTGGAAAGGTCAAGTAAGTCCAAGAAAGTTTTCTCAATCCACATTTTTAGTAAACCAAGCATTATTTGGGAGATTCTCAGTTGTTTTCCGTTTTTCTTTTGCTTTCTGTGTTTAATTCTTTAAAATAGCCCAATAAATGTAATATAGGTACATGTATGTACATACGTGTGGTGTGTGCACACACATTCACACACATGTTCATTCATTCATTCATTTATAGATCTGAATGTGGGTCAAACTGCAGGCATATTTCTTTTATAATGAGAGAAGTGGAGTGAGCACAGTTCCTAATCCCATCTTATTTTATTCAGTCTCAAATACAGAGAGGGTTTTATGAGGTTGTGAAAGAAAAAGAAAAGCTAATACTATTTGTTGTTGTTGTTATTGTGACTGGTCGCATTGGTAAAAATACTAAGACCTAATGTTTAAGGGGTCAAATCAGATGATCTGATGGAGTCCAGTTTGCCAGTGGACTTTTAAACTGGAGAGTCCAGTCCAGATCAGTGACCCTTAACCAAGGTTATACTTCTGAATCATCCAAGGCATCTTGATATATTTGGTGGCAAATATAACAAAATAGTCAGCAGGTGAGTCTGATGCTCAATTAAGAACTATTGGACCAAGTCGTATTTAAAATTCCTGTTGGTGTTAACATTCTGAGATACTCTGCTCCCAAGCAGTTCCAGTTCTTCCTTACCATCTCATACTATTTTATCTTCTAGATCTCACACTGCTTCATGTATTTTGCCATTCAGAGAATGGCTTCCAGTAGGTAAGGGCTGTCTTCTTGCCCTTTGAAGCCTCTTTAATACCTAAAGTAGGTATTACTACCTAAAGCAGGCCATGGAATAGGGGCTTGGTAATTTTTCTGGCTTGAAATTACCCTTCCTCTCATGAGCTGGGTACTTATAGACAGGTGCATGGCACTTCGGGCCCCTCAGATGCCCACTGCCTATTTGGAATCAGATCCTAATAGATATTGGCAAACACGGTGAACAAGCAAGAGACTCAATCCAAGAGCTGGTGGTTGGGGCTTGGCTCCTTAGGGAGGCTTTGATTCCAGTAGAGCGATCCATCTCATGGGCTGGGCTGGGCACCCTCCACGCCTCTCCTTCCCACTCCAGGTCTGTTCCCTGGAAGTCGTGGAAGGATGGGGCTGGGAAGGCTGTTTGTTAGCTGCACACATGGCAAAGTTGCCATGAGGAGCATGGTTCTCGAGGCTGCACACAACTTAAAGCACACCTAGTCAGTTATCTTAGAAAATTCAGACGCGACCTGCAATGATGGCAGAGTGCCCACACGCGGAGAGAAATGGGAATCGAGAGCAGCGGTGGATACGTGTGCCCTTGCAGTTCCACGTTCACTGGATGCCACCTGGCTGCTGCATGGGCAAGCAGGTCCATTCCGTAATAATTCTAAATGTGTTATTCATCTTATTTTTTAAAATAGGTTTTAATTTTTTAGAGAGAGAAGAAGGGAGAGAGAGAGAAACATCTGTGTGAGAGAGAAACGTCGATCGGCTGCCTCCCGAGAATCGAATCGGGACCTCTCAGGCCACGGCCAACGCTCAGTCCACTGAGCCACACCAGCCGGGCTTATTTCTAATTTCTAATTTGACGTGCATTCTCACACTTGCACTTGGATGGGATAATGTGTGTAGGACCCCGCTCTGCCCTGTAATAAGAGAAGCAGCCCACTCCGCTCATCCTGGAATGTGTGCTTCATGGATCCCTGAGAAATTTTAGGATTTCTCAACAAGACTTCTGAGCCCAGAGTTCCTGTGGCATCTGGGCTTCCACTGCGCAATGTAAACACCTTTTTTTCTCTCTTGGTAAACTATCTTCCTGCCCCTTCATTCATAAAGCATGAGGTCTGCCTGCCTTCTCGCTCTTACCCAGAGACTAATACTAGGGCCCCTATGTAAATTTATGTGACATTTTCACTAGAAAATTGCTTAAAAATGAATGATATTTCTACGGTTTACTGTTTTTCACTTTAAGTACGTTTTCTGACAATATGTCTTCTATTAATCATTTAAGCAATAGTGGGAGCCTTAAAGGAGTGTATTCAGAGGCAAGAACCCATGGCTCATTTAGTGCTGTCTAAAAAAATGTCTTATTGATTGGCATCCTCTGTGGGGATGTGATGTAATATTTATAATATGTCACCCTGCCATACATCAAAATAGGTATGTCTGTTGTTTCATTTCCATGGGAGACGTTGATTTCAGAGAGGCCTGCCCAGATTTAGGTCACGTGTGGCCATCGTCTGGACCAGAAATGGGAAGGGACCAGATTCATGGAGTTGCTGGAAATGGCAGATGCTTTGGTGTCTGCAGATTTTTTCCTCCCCTCCCCCCACACCATCCCTTCTCCTTCCTCACGTATCCCTGTGCACCAGCTTAGATTTTCTTGGCACACATCTCCACAGTAAAATGGGCTCATTAAATCTGTACGTGAGCATGAACATATTCCCAAGTCATTGAGCAGTGCCCTGGTCCTGCTGGGGCAGGAGCGAAGCCATGCCTAGGGTTTCTCTTTGCCATTCATCATAGACCATGGCTGAGCACTGTCCACTGCCATGTTATTACAGGAGCTAAACCTGCCCATGCTTCGCCCTGTGCGCACACTGTGCTATTTGGGGATGAATGTTGAATGGAGGCGAACGTGATAGCCAGCAGCTTTGGGATTTGAGCAGGAAGAGTGGGTGAGGCGGCGCTGGGCTTGGGAGACCACCATTGTACTAAGAACCCACTTTGGGCCTCCTGTGCACTTCAACACTGGCCAGAAAATGAATCAAGGATGGACACTGGGGTGCCCAGGATGCTCTGTTCCCTGTCTTCCTTTGCAATTATTTTCTTTCTTCTTACTGCAGGAAAGTCAACAGTACACAAGTGATAACTTCAGTTGTCCCATAAGGGAGTTGGCTCAGGGCTCTCAGCCCTACTTCTGCTCTAAGCCCTTGTCATTCATTCTTTCCTGCCACTGCAGTCTTGGTGCGCCTCGCCTTCCTCGCTCCTCCCCAGTAGGTCCCTCTGTATTCCTTACAAGGTTCAATTATTTAAACCGTGACACCCTTTCTTTGTTCCCTGAAGGAAGCAGCCCTGGAGCCTGCCCAGTGTCTGCGGCACTCAGCCGAGGGAAGGCGGGAGGGACCTTCGCCGTCTGTTGGCCATCCTGGGCTACCACCACTCCCCAGCCGAAAGGAGCTGTAAGACTTGTGGCTTACACAACCCAGCTAGCATTCTCCAGCTAATCTACAGTCTGGGCTTTGAAGATCACAAGAAAGCAAAGGTCACGACCCAGAGATCAAAGTGACAGAAACCCACAGAGTAATTGCTGGTTACCCTCTGTAGAGGGCCTTGTCTATCCTGTGGGTGTATTGTGTGCACGGCCACTTCAAACATGCTGCCCAAGTCAGCTTGCCTTTGCCAGTTGGCAGGCACTCACGAGCTGTAGGTGAGCTCACCTCGGCTCATTAGAGTGAGGTCATTGTCATCTCTCTGAGCCTCTGGAGTTATTCCACGCAGTGTTTTTCATTACTCTTTGGTCTTTATTGACTTTTTCTCACAGTCCTCTTTTACCTGGAGGTGTGAGGGGGCGGTTATATGAGGAAACTGGAGAAATAAGAACAGCGGATATGGATGGATTTGTTGTAAATTAACTTTGAGGCACATAGGAGTCAAGCAAGCTGAAGCATAAAAGAGGCTTAGGCATCTTCAGATCGTTCCCTTCATTGCACAGATGGGGAAACTGAGGCTCGGGAAGGTGATAGACTGAACCAAGATATTCCCAGAGCCTGGGATTTCCTCTGACCTGGTAGTCCCCAAGCCTTTTGTTATGAAGAGCTCCGCTTTTTAAAATTTTCTTCCCCATGCTTTAAAGATTTGCCTCTTAAATAAACTTTATTTAAGCCATTGCTAACTTTTTAAAATTAGTCAGACACATTTAGCTGTTGATCCGTGCTTTTGATCAGCATCAGGTAACCAGGATTACCCAACTGGACTGATGTAATCCAGTCGACAGCAAAGAAGCTTGATATTTTGTTGGCGTGTTCACTCGATTCTTTTAAGCTTTGTGAAAGGTTGAGAACAGTTCGTGGGTCACCTGTTGCCTTCAGGGGTCCCCAGGAGGGCCTCGGCAGCTTGCACCATCTTTGCCACCGTCCCCCCAGCATGGGAGCAGTAGGCAACAAGAACTAACGGGAAGAAGGATAGGATGCCATAAATGGAAGGAAGTAGGAAAAAACTTCAGTGACCCCCCCCCCATCCAGTTCCCTTAGAACTTAGAGACTTGGTGTGTCTGAGTAGAGTGTCCTCGGAGGGAGAAGTCCATGGTGGTGCGGTGTTCGGGGCAGCGGTTCTGAGCAGGAGGGGAGAGCATCCTCCTCTCCCTTTGAAATCTAGGTGGAAAATGCCAGAGCTTTAATATTTGGTGGAGAAATTTTATTTTGGAGTAAAAAATAAACAACAAAAGCCTTTCCACTGTTCCTTGTGTCCCCCTACCTGTTTGGGGTGTCTCCTTAGAGCAGCCCTTTAAGAAAATGGGGCAAAACTGAAAAGCTCTGTGCAGGGGGTCTCACCTTTAGACAATCTGTTTGCAGACAGACACAAATAGGTGTTTAAACACCTTCCTCCCCAGGATCCCTGGTCTCCTCTCCATAACCTCACCGTCCACATCACGCAAGTGTGGCCGGACTCCCGTCCCCCAGCCGCCTTGGGAGGGTCAGGGAAATTGGAGTTGCCCTTTGGAGCTAGAGACGGGAGACTTAGAACTTAGATGGATCTCTTTTCATTAAGCAGTGTCCTGGCTTAACAAGCAGTTTTATAAATCTGAAGCTGTCTCTGGGTGTCATAGGATTTATAGACGGGGGTTTCTGCCATAAAGTGGTTTATGATGGCTGCCTTCTATGTTATCAGTAACTGTCTCTTCCTTCAACCATTGCTGTTTGATAATAGCCTTAAAACACCCAGAATTACTTACCTGCAAGGCCCATTCCCGATAGCCCCTGTTGACAGTCTGAATAAGTTTACTGCCCTTTTGTTGTACTTTACCTTCAAAACAAACTGATTGAACCATCAATAGCTCTGTGGAAGCTGACAGAGGCATGTCATGTGGACGAGCCCCTGTGATCACAGGTTATCTGGGGGAGTTAACCTTCCCGCATTGTTAACTGAAATGTTTTATGTACTATGCAACTTTAGGATACGGCTGTGATAACCTCAGTAACTAAGTCATACATCACAGTAAAGAGATTTTGGTGCAACAAATAACCCGGGATTAAATTTACAAGGGTGGAATTGATATTGTAAAAGCCTCATTCTGTGGCTCCGGGAACCCTCTCGTATTTTTATGGCAAGCTTGTATTATACTCAGGATTGAAGCTGCAGCTTTTGACACCCTGACATGACCCAGAACAAAGGGAAATAGATCTCTCGAGACTGGGACGGGACAGGCAGGCAGAAAGCCCACTGACTTATCACTTGGCAGTAATGTTTGGAACCCATTCCAAACCGCCAAGGGGCAGGGAGAGCTCATAGATGCGGCTGCTGTCGTGTTCTCTGTGTGGCAGACACGTGCCAGGGCAGGCCGCTCGCAGCCTTGGGAAGGAGACTCTTCACTACCTTACCACCCCCATAATTCCCAAACTACTCTTTTTCATGGTGGTGTTTTCACTTGGCCGGCGGCTCTCAGCAGGCCAGCAGCATCAGCCTCACGTGGGAACTTACTAGAAATGTAAATTCCAGGCCCCATTCCGGATGTAGTGAATGGGAAACTCTAGCAGTTGGGCTCTCCCATCTGTCTTTCAACAAACCACCCAGGGGTGCCGACGCTCACCCAAGTTTGAGAACCGCTGCATTAGCATAGACGTTCCTTGAGAGCAGGGCCCTGGTCTGATCCGTGCACACCCTCTGAGCCCCTGGCGCAGCTCCCGGCGGGTGGTGGCTGCTCAGTCCTTATTTGCTGAGGGAGTAAGTGTCTGTGTGAGTAAGTGGAAGACGATATCTCTGAGGCAGGGACTTTGGACCCTAGGGAAGTCTCAGAGCCAGGATTTGGGGAGGGCTTTCTGAGTGCCCCTCAAATCTCCAAGCAGCAGCCACCTGGAAACCCCCGGCTGGCCATCAGGATGGGAGCCAAGTCACCCCTAGTATCAGGGTGATGGCAGCCTGTTGTAGGGACTGTTTCTCTGATTATTCGAGAAGAGTGCCGAGAAAACAGCAGCTCTTTGTCACCTACAGTCTTTAACTAGCTTAAAGCCAGCACCTCTCTCTCTCTCATTTCAGGGCTGCGATCCAAAGTGGGGCGAAATGACAACGTGCTGTCTGTTGTCATCCTGGCTCCTGCCAGCCCTGTGAAGACATCTTTCATTCCGTCATTAAACACTGGCTGATTTTCTAACACTGATGTTTTCTTCACCTGCATATTCATCTTTCCCACCCTACACTTAGTGGGTGTCTTTCCTCCTGCGAGCGTCGCTCCTGACACATTGTTTCCGTCGGTGCATGTCTTCCTTAGAAAGGCTCTGTTGTCATCGAGACTTTGCTGCTACAAGCAGAAGACGGAAGTTTTCTGTGACATCGGCTGAGGCCAGCGGGAGTTCTGCTGGGGGACAGAGAGGCCATTTGGGTTCTTTGTGGAAATATCCTGATTCTGGAAAAGGTCAGGGGGCATTTGGAGAGGGAAAGGGAGGCTCAGGGAGAAATAGGGGAAAAGGCACTAGATTGAGGCCAGCGAGGAAGCAGGAGGCAGGTAGTGAAATTTCCGGGACCTCAGATGTTGGAGGGTCCAGCTCTGGGGAGGAAAAGTGTATCTCCAAAGAATTTTAGAGTATTTCCACTTGAAAAGATGACTAATGTGAAGGTTGTGGCTGGAGGTCTCTAAGTTGCCTCTGGTGTTCGAGTCTCCCACCTGGACTCACGGAGGTCACATGTGATGCGAGGTGTGCCGGTGAATGTGGGGCTGGCCTGGGGGCCCGGGGCTCCCCCGAGAATGGAGGTGCCCTGCTCACCCTGAGAAACATTTGCACTGAGAAGAAGCCAATGTTTGGGGTTGCTTTAGGGTTTATCTCATTGAAGCCTGCTTGAAACTTTCTGCTCCTCCTCACCCTCCTTCAGCTATTAGTTTTTAGTTATTCAGTGAGTAATATTAGGTCCCTTTTTCTGTGTTGCCAAAACTTCTGCAGTCTCGGTACTTAGCGATGCTGATTCCTGGTTTCTCTGTGCCAATTTATCATCCGCATTACACCGAGAACTCCTTTAAGTGAAGGGACCATGTTGTCATCAACTCTGTACACCTAGAACCTGGCACATAGTTGGTGCTCAAGAAATATTTGCACAACAGAAATGAACAGCTATTTTACTGAATTAATTCTAATGCTACTTCCCAACGTGGCCTGAGGGTGAGCAAAAAATAAATAAATAAAAATGTGTTCCTGCCTTCAAGAAGCTGATAGTGGAGGTGAGGACCTCAGCGGAACTGAATTCCTGAACAGCAGACAACTCGCTGGGTCTTTGAGGTGGTCGCCTCCCTGAGTGTCTCTGCCCGTTGTCTTCCAGATGCTTCGTTCTGCACAAGCTGCCCAATCTAAAGTTTTTGGATGCCCGAAAAGTAACCAGGCAAGAACGAGAGGAAGCTTTGGTCAGAGGGGCGTTCATGAAGGTGGTGAAGCCCAAGGTAAGCTGCCTTCTTCACGGTCTCCTCAACGCTCGTGTCTCACCGCACGGGAACCCGCGGAGCACGGAGGGCGTGCTCCTGTGTGTGCAGAATGCGGGAGGGTCTCACGCCACGTTTCCGCCCATGCGTACTGTTTGCCAAGCAAGAAGTAAGACTGGGTACAACCTGAGTCTTCACCGTCTAAGATGACTTATTTGTAAGGTGAGTTCACCCAGGTGACGGATAAGGCAGCACCATGCATAGCCCAGTGGTGATGTCGCAGGGGCAGGTGGCATTTCGGGCCTGAAGCGGACACAGGAGAAAGAGGAAAACACTGGGCATCTCCTCTCACTCAGGTGGTTAGGGTCCCTCCAGCACCTCATGGGAGGGCCTTCTCTCCTGGGACCCGATGGGAGCCACAGGCGGGGGATTTTCTTGAGTCCACAGGTGAGAAGCCAGCAGCTCTCAGAGATCTTGGTAGTGGGAAGGTGACTTTTTCTGGCACTGTGACCTGAGACTGGGATGTGCTCCCTCCATGTAGCTCTCTAGAGTTCATGGGCATGATGTTTGATGACCTGTCCAGCTGAGTCTGCCCCGAGGCCGTGGCAGTGACCATGGTGTCATCTTAATCACAGCATGGATGAGGCAGGGGGGCTTTGCTCCGGGCATAAGGGAGTTCTTAAGGACATGGAAAACTCTTACTAGAAGGGGTTGGGAGTCCTTCAGTGAAGCCCAGGGTGGGGAGTGGACTTGGTGACACTTGAGGACGCCTGTGGAGATCCGTCCCTGTCCTGGGGCTCTGTGGTGTGACATCGTCGTTTCCTATGGGACCCCAGCTGGTGTGTTGAGGACACTGGTCCAGACATCCTGGAGGTCTGGTTTTCCCTCACGTACTGGCCCACAGCACTCTGCACATGCATTGGATGACTGAGAGGGAAAGAGAAAGACCAAACAGAACCCAACAGAAACAGAAACCCCTCCACCAAGTGGCCCAGCTGGGCAGCAGACCTCAGGCCCCTTTCCTTCCCTGAATCCACGCGCGGCGACTTATTCCCGTTACGCCGAGTGCAGTTGCTGGCGGTTGTGGAAATACACGGTGCAGGGGGCATAATCCTGGCAGGTGAGTGTGTTGGCACCTGTTTCAGCGTGTGGGAAATTAACTGAGTGACCCGTCCCGTAGTTATGAAAGTGTTAACAGTTTTCTCATCGCGGCAGATCTGACATATTGCTCATGGCTGCCCTCTGCTATTTCAGCTTTTGTAATTTTGTCCAAATGAAATCATTTATTTCTTGGCCTCCTTTTTTCTTTCCTTTCTTCCTTTTCTTTTTTTAAAGATTCCAGAGACATTTCCATCACCAAACCAAAGAAAGTACAACACAGAGGCTGTTCATACTGTGTGGGCTCGCCCCCCGCATTTCTTGCCCTCATGCACCCAGGCACTTGACAGACTGGATCAGTACTTCACTGTCACTGTCTCCGACATGAGCAGCTCTGTGTGGTCACTGGAAATCTGAAGGGGCAGCGTACTGGGGCACTGCACGTGTGCCCACCCCTGTTCTTAGGTGCTTCACGTACAGATCTGAGGGGCCTCACATGCCCCTGGAATGTAGACGGAAGGGGGCAGTGGCTTATTCTACAGGGAAACTCAGGCCTAGAGACGTTGATTGGCTGCCAAGGCCCCGGCTAGTCATTGCTGGCGCTGTCCCTGTGTCCGGCCACAGCGCCACGTCCTCCACTGCTGTCTTAGCCCGGGAGCACGCGCCCCACGTTTTCCCGGAGGCCGACCTGAAGGCAGCGGGGGAGCAGGGCTGTCCTGTCAGAGGGAGCGGGCAGAGGTGGTGGGGAGGGGCGGCCTTTGAAAGCAAATGGGAATGGCTCTTTAAATCCTGTAATAGCTGGTTCTCCGAGTCATTAGCAACTTAAGCAGAAATGCTCTTCAAAGCTCCAAATTAGTTTCTAATCAATTATAGAATTAGCTCATGTTTGTGTGATTGACTCTAACATCTTTACTAACTGTATTAAGCTTTAAGATCTCCATGAGTTATTTGAGGAGAAGCAGAGGCACGTGACGAGGTGTGGGGACCTTCGACGGTTCTCTTTTCACAGCCACATGATTTCCAGACTGGACTGGGCTTGAGTGATCGCCTGCTCGAGAGCTCACTTAGCGAGTGAAGAACTGGGAGACGATCAAGTCTTCCTAGGCCCCCAGAGTCCCAGAGGCAGACTGGGACCAGAACCCAGGGATGCGGGCTTCCAGCTAAGAGTTCTGTGTACGCAGCGTCCTGCGCAGGCACCGGAGGGTTTCCCTGGGACCCTGGTCTCCTAGCAAACTGCATGCCTCTCTTCAGTGGCAGGCTGCCCCTTCGTCTGTCTTCAGAGATCCTTTCTGGTGCTTTCCTAGCAGATAGAGAAAGGTCAGATGAGCTCCTTGCTGAATTGATAAATTGATGTTAAAAAGGCTGGTTCTCACCTGCTCCCAGTATATACAGACATGTGTTTGTTCCTATGCAGGTGTGTGTATATGCTTTCCGTCTCTGTGTATATATACATATGTATGCTCCGGGAGGTATGTGTACGCCTGGATTCGGCTCCTAAGTGGAGAGCAATTTCCTCCCTGTGAATTGCCGATGCTGAGCTGAGCACACTGGGTGAAGACCTATTTTTCATAACGGCGTCAGAATCTCAAGTTGGCTTCTGTCCTTTCCAAGGCAGCGTGGCCTGTGTGCTTATTCAGCAGAAGGCTCTGATGGGTGATCAAGGGGCCGTGATTTGGGGAGCTGTTTTCATTTTATTCCTGACATAAAGTATTTGGGAGAATGGAAGCACCTCTGCAGTCACAGCCCTTGCCTGGAGGCAGGGGACGGCAACGTGGGTTCCTGGCTGACGCTGGTGCAGAATCATCCAGGATCTGATAAACCCGGCGTCCCGGAGGCTGGACGTGCTACCTGCAGGCCCTGGCGCTTGAGTGCGAGTTCTCTCTCGCTTTCTCTCACGATCACACAGTTCTCCTTCATCGCCGCCTTTTGGCTTTTGTTTTTAAAAGCTGCCTTCTGTCTGAGCTCTGATTGTTCTACAGAAAGATGCTGTCATTCATTAGGGAGTGATAGCTAATGCTATAATGGGCTCTTCTAGACGTGAGTGTGTGTGTGTGTGTGTGTGTGTGTGTTGTTAGTTAATGGATTTACAACAGCTAGGCTTTGCTCATTTCCCAGAATTATAAAGAAAATATGTATCTTTGTCAAATATTGGCCATTGAATGATGCCATTGTCCATGCAGAGAGCACCAAGCTAGGTGCAGAGAAGGCTGAGGCCCCCCAAAGAAAGGCTTCTGTAATAACCAGACTGTGACCCCCCTCGCTGCACAGGGAACAGATCAAAGCGGCACAGAGGCCTGTCCAGGAGCGTGTGCGTGGCGGACACGCCAGCCCTGCACATCAGAGAGACGGTTCAAGAATCCGACAGTCAGAATTGCTTAATTATGTCCTGGCTTTGTAATTATTCGTCCCTTTTCTGGCAACAAGCACACTTGTCATTTCTTTGACATAATTATTTAAAGCTGAGCCTTCTTGTTTACAGGCACGTATACGAAGTTGGCTACCAACTATTTAATCTTCAGAACCTTACAGAAGCGAGGGGAGAGGCACTGTAGGGGCAGGCCGAGAATCACAGCCTCCGTCAGAAAGTGTTTTAACATGTATTTTTGCCTGTGATCACGGCCATGCTCTTGTAGGTAAGATATGGAAATAGGTGTGCTCAGGAGGGCAAATGGGTCCTTGAAAATCCGTCAGTGTGTCTTTATGCAGGCCCAGGTTTCCTATCGTGTAGTTTGTGTAGTTTTTCATAGTTTGCATATTTGTGTGTGTGTGTCTTTGGGTGTTTGGGGCTATAGTGAGTGTGTGTGTGTGTGTGATTGAGAGGAAGGGAGTGGGAGAGAAGCATGAGGCATTCCAGGAAGACACTTCTGAATATCTGTCCCTTTCGTAAATCTTTTCTCTTCTCCTTGAACTGAAAGTTATTTGGGTCCGAGGACCACCTACTTCCATGACTACACTATATAGTCCTGCTCTTGACACTTGGCGTCGGACCCTGGGTGACTTTAGTTTTTGCCATCGGCGTTCATGTTTTTGGGTTTCCACAAACAGGCAACCTAGCATAAAGAGGGGATGGAAGCATCGGGAAGCCAGGCCTCCCCGGGCTGCTGGCTCCATGGGGGCAGGAGCATGGTTTCCTCTCGCTCCTCCGGTGCCTGGTCCGGAGCAGACGCAGCCCGCGCTTCTGAAAGGAATGAACTCTGAGCGGAACGCACGAGCAAATCCCTCGTGAGAGGTGGTCCATGTTTCTTGTTGCCTCAATGTGGTTCTCTGGGAACCAGAAAGGGACCTATGCCTCAAGGAAATGTAATCATTTGAATCTGTGTGGTGGCAGAAAAGAGAGATTCTGGGTCGCATGTTTGTTTTTCCAAAGGATTTACCTGGCATTTCTTACGATGGCAAAACCTCCGGCTGCCGAGACGGCGAGGCCTCGGCTCCTGTGTCGGGCGGCATTGCCGGGGCGGGGAGCGGTCTGAGCGGCGTCTGCTGTCACTGCTCACGCAGAGTCCACCTGCTCAGATAGGGCTGGGGTGGTTAGGGTTAGGGTTAGACCTCAGAAAACATGTTGGGGTGCTCCATAGGTCTGTGCACAGTTCCAATGAGATTTTCCTTCTCTTAGTTGTTATGGTATTTTTTTTTTTTACCATAAAGGAGCACAACCCAATGGCCTGTTTGGTTCACTGAGTCCTCACCGAGTTCCTTACCAAATGCCCCCTGTCCTGAGCTACAGTTTATATGTCATCTCTCCTCGCAGCCTCATCCAGCCCAAGTGCAAGCCCCTAAAAGGTTATCAGGAAATATCTCTAAGTTGATGCAATTACTAACATTTACTCTTATACTTACTATTCTAAGAATATATATTTTGCATGAAGCCAGGTACTCCGTAAATAAATATTGTCACAAACAAACAAGGCGCATAATACAGCTTG